GAATGGACCCTGAGGTCAATTCAGACCAAATCCTGCTCCCAACAGATCTAACACCCAAGTTAGATTAGATTGCAGATGGCTTCGTTCGGGTGTTTGGAGAATTTTTATGCCACATCTTTCAGCAGCCTGTTCTAGCACTCCCATGCTGAAGGACCTGTAATTATGAAACAACTTCCAGTGGTTCAAAGAAGGTTTGATCCATTTTCTTATCTTGATGAAGCAGTCAGTAGCAGATGACCTCCATGCTGTCCCCTTGCCTACCTCCCCTTGAACACTGACACATAATTCCACAGCAGAACTCCACACATTTCTGCATCTCCCTTTCATCCACTCTCTCACAGTTAGAACCGTAACAAAGATTGGCAGCTGTATGAAAACACACCTTTATTTTACACATGATAAAATCTATCCTCAGACACTACAGTAGAGTTATCTCCATGCTAAATTGGCTGTTCCTCCAGTAGGTTTTAAGTGACATAACCAGTTCCACCTTCTTCACTTTATGCCCTAAACAAAAGAATCTGGGAGCTTCTGTCCCAATTATCTGTCAAACTAGCTTTGTGACTCAGGGGAATGAAAGGTTACTGCAAAAACCGTCACTGAGACAATTTTGCCTCATCTTTTTCCAAGTCCCAAACCTAAGTAAACTCACAGCATGCATTTAGTAGTTATAACAAGAAGCTTCCCCACAAATATTTTCAAGTCTTATTTTCAGTAAATTAATGTGACAATATTTTGACATGCTGAAGGGTTAGCAAAGAATAAAACAGTTATCCTGCAGGTATATAGAAAGAAAGTAGCAGAAAAGTTGAACTTATTGTATCTGTGTTTGAACAGTACCTTAATATACAAATAGGTTCCTCAACACTTTGCAAACACAGATCCTACCACTGATTGCAGTTGGACCAAAGGAAAACAGTGTAATGATAAATGATATATATACATGATAATTTTAACCAAAACATTTCCTAGAATTTGCATCACAAAACCCAGTAAGTTTGTTTCTTCAGGTGAATTAATTGAATTCTTTATCATACATTTCTTGCATCTCAGAGATAAGAAAAAATAATTTTTAGTACTTTGATTAGTAGAAGATTTTTCACTGAGACACAGAAACAGGAGAAGTATTAATTTTTTCTACTTTTGGTTTAGTGAAACAGTTTTACTTGCAAAGTTATTTACATGATTCTGTACAGGAACAAGCATAATATTTTATGCATTTATCATAACTGCAATTTGTTCTTATCTTTTCTATGCCCTTTGGCTGCTGCTATTGTACACTTAAGGTTCATAATGTGCTGCCCAAGCTGCAGGCACACTAGAAGATGTAAAAGCAGTAACTCAGAGCTTCTAAGTGGTGTGGGCAGGTCAATTAGTTTTAAAGTACTAAACAGCACCAAACTTTTGACGATATTCCCACCTCAATTTACTCACTGCTCCCTTCTTCTTCTACTTGAGTAACTGTGGTCACAAACCACTGGGATCTATTAAATCCCTCTGGAATATTATTTGAGGGATATATTTTTGCTCAGTGCCTAGTCCCATGGTGCTTCATTAACCTAATTTCCAAGTGCACCAAACAGAAATTAACTATTCCACAAGCTCTTCCAAGTTCCTCATGCCCAAAGGTGCCCTGGCCATATTAATCTTTTTAAGAATACCAGAAGACATGTCCATTCTTCATCCTACTTAACACTACCTTGTTTTCAGCATCCATCAGTGAGTAGTGGAGGAGAAGCAAACACAGGCACATTATGCACCTTTAGGTATGGGATAGGAAAGGAAAGCAGATGGTGGGGTAAGGATCATTATAAGCAGGGCTGTTGCACAATAAAACCAGACTGTGTAGAATAGTATAAAGTAGGAGACAGGACTAATAACACAAACACAGGCTTTTTTTCTTTACTTTCTCTTTGGTCATTTTTTTTCTCATAAATTTTCAAAGCACACTACTACTGTGTCATTAGTGTATTGCTCTTGGAAACCAACACTTCTTCTATCCACAGGGTCTATCTAGTGCTCTTGTACCAAGATTTCCTAGTGTAATAGGCTCTGCAAATGAGGCCAGATAAAGTTCAAGGTCTGTAATCCATTCTAGATTCAGTTTTTATCTGCGTCAGCACATAGTGTGGCTCAATAGGAGCAGTCCTATAGAGTGCACAATCCCTGCATCAGCTGTTGAGAACAGGTTGCCTGTACTATAAGCGGACATGAGCACAATATAACTACAGTTGGCACCTGAGCAAAGGTTCTGAGGATGAAAATTCATGCAGAACCTGTGAGGTCACCTCTGCCAGCAAAGTTCCTCTTTGTTCATGGCCCTAAAGGTACAGTCTTATCCCAAATGCGATAACTGAATTGAATGGGGATTTTTTCCAAAATCATACAGAAGAGATTTTAAGAGGTGGAAAAACAGTCAAGTATGTACAAAGTTTCAGGCTTGTCCTCAAACTGGCAACTGAGTGCACACACTCTCCTTGGGGCTGTGTTTCCATAAAATGGAAGGAAACACAGAGCATGAAGATGCACAATAATCAACCTATCTCCACAGGGGCACACATCTCTCTGAAGAGTCTTTATAGCCTGAAAGTGTGTTGAGTACTGGAGTAAAATATTTCTTAAAATATATCTGTTAAAATAATGGTTTTTACTTTTTTGCCCTCAGGTTTGCCCTGTTGGTGTTGCCTGGTGTGTTGTCCAGTGTGTGGCCTGTGGAGGATGGCATGGTACAGCACAGTGAGAAATCCATGGCAAACCAGGTGTGGAAGTCATCGCTCTATGTCCTTGCTGCACTTTGTAGCAAGTCAAAAGAACTGTGTGCCCAGGTGGCCAAGAAGGCCAATGGCATCCTGGCCTGTGTCAGAAACAGGGCCGCCAGCAGGACTAGGGAAATGATTCTTCCCTTGTACTCGGCACTGGTGAGGTCACGTCTCAAGTCCTGTGTCCAGTTCTGGGCCCCTCAACTCAGGAAGGACATTGAGGTGCTGGAGTGGGTCCAGAGAAGGACAACAAAACTGGTGAAGGGTCTGGAACGCAAGTACCATTAAAAGCAGCTGAAGGAGCTGGGGGTGTTTTGCCTGGAGAAGAGAAGACTCATGAGTGACTTTTATCACTCTAAAACTACCTGAAGGGAGGTTGTACCCAGGTGAGGGCTGGCCTCTTCTCCCAGGGAACTAGCGACAGGACAAGAGGACAGGGGAGATTCAGGTGGACATTAAGAAAAACGTCTTTCACGAAAACGGTGACTAGATATTGGAATGGGCTGCCCAGGTAGGAGGAGAAGTTTAAGGAAAGACTGGACTGGACATGGCACTTAGTGCCATGGTCTAGTTGGCAAGGTGGTGTTCGGTCATAGGTTGGACTTGATGATCTCAGAGGTCTTTTCCAACCTAACGGATTCTGTGAAATACGGGGTGGCAGGATATGTGAGGAGACTGGCAGAGATGGGCACGCCTGGACCGACCGGCAGACCTCAGCAAGCGCGCAGCCCAGCGCCCGATCCGCAACTCCGGCCGCCGGAGCCCGGGCAGGATGGCGGGAGGACCTTGTCCCCGGGCGGGGCGGGGAGAGTGGAGCCCTCCGGGGGTGTGTGCGGGGGCCGGGCGGAGGCGGGAGCGCGGAGGGCACTGCGGGCGGCGGCGGAGGCGCTGCAGAGTGGCGTGGACGGGCCGGGCCGGCAGCGATGGGGACATCGCTCGGCGCCGTCTCGGAGCCGGCCGGCCCCAGGGCAGCCAGCGGCCGCTTCTGGGTTGCCATCCTGGGCAGGCAGCGGGGCTCTTCTCCTCGGGTTCCTCATCGGTACAGTGCAGACTAACCCTCCCTAGCGTTGAGGGCTCTTCGGCGGCCGGCCCGTCCAGCCGGGGGAGGTGACTCGGAGGCGGGCCGAGGAAGGGCCGGGGGCGGGGAGGAGCGGGCGGGTTGCCAGGCCCGGGAATTTGTGCCAAGGGTGCCCGAGGTGAGTCCGTGCTCAGCCGGCCGACACCATCCGCCCTCTCTTCCTACTTCCCTGCCTCTCTCCGATCCTCTGGGAGACTGGCCAGGTGCAGTCACCGAACCCCTCTGGGATTTCCAGCTCTGCCCCAGGAGGGTCTTTGTCTCTTTCACTTTGGTTTTCTATTTACTTTTTATTAAAGTAGTCGTGCTGTGGCAAGAGAGGAGGCGCTGGGTTTGTGAGGAGAGCACAAAAGACAGACCCCTCGACCCCGCTGCCCTGAAACCGCAGCAGCCCCAGCTAGAACGGCAGGAAGATAAACACGGGGCTGGAGGTGCGCTGGCAGGAGGGGAGAAAGAGTCTTTAATTTGATGTCCCACCTCCTCCTCGTCCTAAACAGGCATGCCTGTGGGTTACTGCCGCAAGAGATTTCCCCTCCCTACCTTCCTTTTAGTTTCACAGATGAATCAGGATCAGCTTGAGGGAGGAAGGAAAACAAAAGAGCCACTTGTATTTTGCACTGCCATTTGGTATGTACTTGGGGTTGGTGCCTTTGGGAAGCTTGAATTGACTGAATTGCTCTTTCACGTAGAAAGAACCTTTCACTGTGCCAGTGACCAGTGCCTCACTGGTACCAGCTTGTTACCTGCTTGAACACATCAGCTCTCTCATTCACACTACCCATATAGCTGCTGCTGCATTTACACTGAACATGTCCAGTCTGACTTAAAAACAGATGTCAGAAACACTTATCTTCCTAGCCAGGTGTTCTTCTCATCACTTACTCTGCTAATGCCTGCACAGTAAGGGAAAGATTCCAAAATAAGAGCCAGACAGACCAGAGAGTGAGAAAGGAGTTACGAGACATCTGTTCCTTACAAAGAGTGTCTGTGCTTCTATGCATTTTTGTAAAGCTGCTGCCTTATTACTGGGGTAACTGGTATGACTGACAGCATGATGTTCTGGTACTCAAGGAAGATAGGTAAGTGTCCTTAGCACCTACAGGAAAATAGGTGTGATGAGTAAATATAGTATAGTATTTTATATCTCTCAATATCTACCCATGGAAATAAGTTCTCTTACCATTTGTGGGACTGACACGGCCATCACTGTGCAGCCTGCATTAGGTTGTGGCTGCTTGTATGTGCTGAAGTAAAAACAGTTGGAAAATGCACAGTAAAAAGCTTATGGGGAGACCAAAGAGAAATGGTGTGTGTCATGGGAATATTGCTCTCATGTTTTTACTCTTGTATTTTGCTGTGTTGTACAGGCTGGTTTGCAAAACCTATAGAAAAGAAGACATCTCTGAGTACTCATGAGGACATGAAGACAGCATTTATGGCTGAAATGAAAGCTGAAAACATCAAGCAATTTCTTCAGTAAGCAGTTTTAGACTAGTCAGTTCAGACAAGGAAAAAAATTCAAGCTGGAAACAGCCCAAGGGTCATAGAATCACAGATTGGGTTGTGCTGGAAGGGACCTTAAAGACCACCTAGTTCCAACCTCCCTACCATAGGCAGGGACACCTCCCACTAGAGCAGATTGCTCAAAGCCCCATCCAACCTGGCCTTGAACACTTCCAAGGATTGAGTCCACAATTTCTCTGGACAACCTCTGCCAGTGCCTCACCCCCTTCACAGTAGTGAATTTCTTCCTAACATCTAATCTAAATCTCCTCTCTTTCAGTCTAAAGCCATTCTCCCTTGTCTTATCACTGCATGCCCTTTTAAAATATCCCTCTCCAGCCTTCCTGTAAGCCCCCTTTAGGTACTGGAAGGTGCTTTAAGGTCTTCCCAGAGCCTCCTCTTCTCCAGGCTGAACAACCCTAAGTCTTTAAGCCCGTCTCCTTACGAGAGGTGCTACACCCCTCTGATCATCTTTGTGGCCTCCTCTGGACTTGCTCCAACAGATCCATGTCCTTATGTTGGGACCTCAGAGCTGAGCACAACACTTCAGGTGGGGGGTCTCGTGAGAGCGGAATGGAGGGACAGAATCTCCTCTCTCGACCTACTGGTCATGCTTCAAACAATTCAAAACAATGGAACATGACAATTTAGATACTTTAAAATCTATTAAAATTTAGTTACTGTAATTAATTTCTCAATTTCAGTGACTTGGAAGCTTTAACTGCAAGTAAGCTGATGTACTTTTAGAAATCTTGTAAATGGGTTATTTTTCTCTTAGGAGAGTGTAGTATTTGTTAAAAGCTTGTATTTATTCCAGTCAGTAATAGATCAGAAGTCATAGTTTCTTGATAGAAATTTACTTTCTGTGTAAAGAAAAAGCATCAATTATTGTATGAGTAATCAATACATTTGGATTTGCCTCAAATTCCCATCCTGATTACATAGCTTAAAGTTGTACAAAACTAAATTAATAAAATCCCATTTTTGATTGGTACGATTGTGGCAATCCCACTGATTTAATTTGAAGTGCATTTGTCATGAACTATTGCAAATAAATTAGCTGTAAAGTATGTTCTCTTTACTACATAACAGTCATGCCATGACTATAACATAAACATTTAAAATTGAAGACTTAGTAGTTTTAAGAGTCTTAATCTGTGTTTTGGCTCCTGCAAAATAGGTGTTGTTAAACAGTTCTGTGAAAGGACCTTTTTCTCCCCTCTAAACTCCCTGCCTCTATGCAAACAGAAAACATTGTGCCTCATTTACTGTCATGTGGCCAGTTCTGCAGTAATATATGGCAGATGTTTAGTCACTGCTCAGAACTACCAGTACAGGCATTTAACAACTTAGAAGAGGAAATGAAGGAAAACACAATATTCAGTTAAATGGGAGTGTAATACAGGAGGATATTTTCAAATTTTCATGAAAATGTGAGACTTAAGCATTTGTAACTCTTACAGAAAACCGCCATTGGCACTAAAAATAACACTTAACCATGCTCTTGGTTCAGTATGTCATCCAGAAAATGGTGCTGTCACTCTAACAGTAACTTTTAGGACAGTGTTAGTACTAGATGTTGACATTATCAGACGAACATGGTTTTATCTAGCAGCGTTTGGCTGCTGAGGACTTTGGGTTTGTCTAGTTTGGGGAAAAACAGGCTGAGTGGCAACCTCATTGCTCCTTACAGCTTCCTGAGGAGGGCAAGTGGAGAAAGAGGCACTGGTCTCTTTTCCCTGGTATCCAGTGATAGGACATAAAGGAATCATTCAAAACTGCACGAGAGGAGGTTGAGACTTGACATGAGGAAGATTTCTTTACTGAGAGGGTGGTCAAACCTTGAAAGAAGCTTCCTAGAGATGCTCCAAGCCTGTTGGACCTTGACACATGCATTAACTTGATCAACTCTGAATTGATCAGGCAATTGGACTTAAATAATTGTTGTAGATTCCTTACGACCAAACCTATTCTATTCTATTCTATTCTATGCTATGCTATGCTATGATATGCTATGCTATGCTATGCTATTCTATTGCTCTGTGTATTGTTCTTTCAAAGTGCTTTCTTTGATGGCTTTGTTCTCAGTGGAACTCAAGAATTTAAGGTTTTCCTAATCTCATACCCCAGCACCAGCTGGTGCCACACAAGCATCTATGGCGTGTTAATGGCATGATCATATGACAGAAGGAGGAAATCATGATGTCAGCCTCATTCAGCTGATGGTTTTTTCAGCTCACTTCACCACTGGGCTTTCTCAGTGGTCTGAACAATTTTTTTTTTTTCAGACAATGGGCTGTTCACTATTTATGTCTCTTTCACTGTTTGTTATTCATGCTGCCTGACTTTTAAGTCACAAACTGTTGAGTTTTTCTGTTCCTTGTTTATAGTTGTTTACAGTAATCAGAAGTCAGTCTCTCTTACTTGCCAACATGGCAAACTCAGAGTGAACTTTCAGACAAATCAGTATTTGTGCCAAAATTAATTAAAATAGTGGTATCCAAGGAGAATATCTAGTTAATTGCAGGTAAGGATCAGAGTAATTATGCACATTTCTAGGTTGAATACACAAAGATAATTATACTTATTTCTTTTATCACTTCACGATGAAAGTCTCAGTGTGTATAGGAGTGCACAGGCCTAATGTTACTCAGAAGACACGGAGTAAAGAAAGGACAAGACCCTGTATCTGGTGCCATCACACCATTCTTGCTAAACCATGCTGCAAGGAAGATACAAATACCTGTGCTAGCTTTGGACAACCTGAAACCCTTTACCTCAATTTATGTATTATAAAGGCAAAAGTGTAGATACAGAGAAGCCTTGGTCCTTATTTAGCCTGGGTATATCTGATCATATCTAGAGGGTTTATTTCCAGCTAGGCTAAGAGGAGTTCTGATTATAAGCTGCAATGCCTGACCTGATTGTTTCTTTCTTTTTCTCTAGCAATTTTACACAGCTTCCTCACCTAGCAGGAACAAAGGAGAATATGCATCTGGCACAGCAAGTCCAAGCTGAGTGGAAGACGTTTGGTTTGGATTCTGTTCAGTTAGTTCATTATGATGTCTTACTCTCTTACCCTGATGACACTAAGCCCAACTACATCTCAATAATTGATGAGCATGGAAATGAGGTACAGAAAACACCAGTTTTTCCAACCAGGGAACAAAATCACCGTCATACACCTGGGAAGACTGTGAGGGAAAGCTGTCCTCTGTTCAGTTAATATTGGGCCTGATACAAAGCACACAGAAACTGGGGGTTCCAGTTTGCTTTTATAGTTAACATCTTTGTTTCATAATGTATGTGCTAGGAATACTAATATTTACTCTTATTCATATAGCATACTGACATATATTGATTAAACGTGAATTATGAAAGAGAATTACTTCATGTGAGTCAATTGTTTTAAAATTTCTCTGTTATTTAGGAAAGAGGAGAGAAACCATGGTCAGCACCGTTCTTTGCGTTGATTCATTATACAGTATTGATGATTGTGCTAAATTCAGTTTCTGGAAGATTAGCATTTAGGCCTCAAAATGTACTATCACAAGAGACATGAGTTCATTACGGAATAGCTCTAGTGCATGTAGAAGCTCCAGGGATGAGCAGAATGCAAGCATTTTTACCACTATGATCTAGCTTGTTTTTATCTGCTGTACTGAAACAGCTTTAAGGGACCCTGTGTTCATTTACACAGGACTCTGTGTGAAGAATGCAGATGGGATTTGTAAGATCACACCTTGAACTTGCCTACTGAAAAGGCTGCCCAGTGCTTGCTAAAGTTTTGGCCACTCCTCATGTAGAGCTCTAAAATCAGAGTCCTTTAAACTGCAAGTACTCGTGAAATGCGTCTGAATTTTTCTTTTTTTCCATATCACCTGGTTTATGTTATTCCTTTTCTTCTTTCCCATTAGATTTTCAACACATCATTATCTGAACCTCCTCCTCCAGGATATGAAGCTGTTAGAGATGTGGTGCCACCCTACAGTGCGTTTTCAGCCCAAGGAATGCCTGAGGTAACAGTAGAAGAGTGAAAGAAACAAAAGTAGAAGCAGAAAGAGAAATAGAAGTAGGAAGAGAAGTAGAAAAAGAATCAGAGACAGAATTAGAAATAATAGAAATAGAAAAGAGTAGCATAGCACAGAATTGCAGATAGCAACACAGAATAGTGTGAAATTCCTTAGGCTTTAGTTAAAAATCTGACATATCACCAGTAGGAAATATGACCTAGCTCTGATATTTTTGGGATTATTGCAATGGAGCAATGTTCAAATTAGGCAGTCATACATATGTTTATTTTTTTTCTCTAGTTTGTATCAGAACTGGATTTTATTTTTCCTTTTCCTTAAAAATATGATAATAAATATTTAATATCAGCTGCTATAAGCTTCCCCAAGCATTTCTGTAACTATGCATTATTTTCCATCTCGGTAAACAAATAGACTGTTATATTTACACAGGCAATGAGCCAAACCTCACTTTCAAAATGCCGCTTGCCCAAGACTTACACTGACAGGTATAGCTGCACAGTGTTGAGAATGCTTGAGAAAGGCTTTTGCTAGCTTTTCTGGCTATAAAAGTGTTGCTGTGATCTGAATTTAAGGCTAATCCTATTTTCTTGTACCGGTGGTACCAGCTGATGGACTTTCTTTCATAAAACTGGCCTGTGTAATAGGAATTTTCTGGCCTATGATCATTAGGGTATTTCAATTAATATTTTGTAAGATTAGAATTTTTTGTTGTTGTTCTTAATATTTTTCCTGTCTGAAAATAGAATAATTCAGGTTGGCAGAGCTCTCTGAGGTCATCCGCTCCAGTTTCTGCTTTAAAGTTTGATCTGACTTGGAAACCTGCTAATGTTTCTACTCACGCAACCCAGTATATATCAGTCGTGTACTTTCTGAAGTTTGTTAATAAGCTGCCCAAGTTCAGAAAACAAAAAGTATCCTGTATTCATTTGCCTCAGATACTCAAAGGATGCTGGAGAACCAGGCAGATAATCTGTACCCTAGGATATAGGAGCAATGAGTGTTTCAAGAATTGCAATGGGAATTTCGGAACATAATGTAAGAAAAAATTCATAGGTTTTGACCTTTTATCATAACATATCCCTGAAGAAAGATAGAATAACCTCACTGCTTTATTTAGTTTGTGGAGAGCTAGTAAGTGATTAGATATGGGAAATGATAAAAAAAAATTTGGAAAGCTTCAGCTTCCTTCTTTAGAAAATGATTTTATTTGAATTAAATATATGAACTTTGTTTCTGATGAAAATAATACCTAAAGGCAGGTTGTCTTCTCAAAATATGATGCTTATGTTCACTTTATTGCGTACTAGTTTGACAAAGGTTCAGGTACTTAGCTAGCACTGTTAGGAATAGCATTCTCCAGTGAGCTGTTGTCTGCATCTGTACTGTGAACAGCACAGGAGTGAGCAGGTATATAGCTCAGCAGTGGGAACACTCAGTGGATCCATGACTCTTCTGACTTTTTCCAGGCTGGTTTCTCTATTTTATGTTAAAACCCATTCTACTAAAAACTAAAACTAATCTGTGAACTCTATTGCATAAAATAAAATTGATCTTTACTGTGGTGTCTGTGTCCAAAATACCTCCAGCTATCCAAGACTGACTCCAGTTTTAAACAGACTGTGAAGAGAAGTAAATGCCTCACTTTGAGCATTTAAGCAGAAGTCACATGTGAACATTCTCAGTTGTGCACAAAGTCTGCCAGCTTTGGATGGTAGAAGTCTATTAAAAGTCACTTGCCTACCTAGTTGCCTCACGATCAAAGAATTCATGCTAAAACCAGTCCTGGAGATCATTGTTCCAAATTTATAATCTTACAAGATCACATCCTCCTTTTGACATACTCTTTGACAGTATTATTTCAAATTCTGCCTTTTTCTTTCAGGGTGAGTTAGTGTACGTGAATTATGGCCGCACCGAGGACTTCTTTAAGTTAGAACATGTAATGGGAATTAACTGTACAGGAAAGATTGTTATTGCCAGATATGGGAAGATCTTCAGAGGAAATAAGGTAATTCCTGTATATAAAAATGTTACTTGTGCTGCCCTTCCCTTGTTTTCAAGAGACTGAAACACTTACCTAAAGAGTTCTGTAGATTTTAGTGTAACTGAGTTTTCATAGAGCTCTGTTCAAAGATGATGTTTTAGTAAAAGATAGCAAATATGTATTTCATATGTGTGTAAGACATTTCTAGGATAAAAGTAAATAAGTTGGAAAGTGTTTCATATTTTTATATGGCTTTGCATTCTATAAATTGTTCCAAAATATCACTAACATTGTTATACGTTTTATACACTGTAATATACTTGAATTCTGAACCAGGCTGTTCTTCCCTATTGGTTCAACTGTCCTCTAAAATGTCTATATTGTATTTCTTTATAATGGTTTCTGTACACTGGGCAGAGACTGTGACTATATGGAGGCTATTTTAAATTGTGTATTTGGTTATTCAATATCCCTGTCATAGAAATATTTTTAAACTACAGTTTTCTGCAGATTTCCATGACTTGATAGTAAAGGACATAATCCTTTGCATACTTCAGGCATACACTCAAGTTTTTTCCTCAACAGAGATGTAAGAAGAGAGTCTATTTTATGTGTATTTGTTTCTTGTACAACAATTAGTTTGACCCTAATTTGAGCAGGACTATAGTTTGTATTTGTCAGTTATCTAAGGATATCAAACACTGAATCTCCTCACTGGAATGCCACTTCTTATTATATGCTGTTGACTAATCTTGTGTGAAGCTTCTAAGTAGATAACTCACTGGTTTACGTACATACCATTTTCACCAGTGAAAAGTGACATATAACTCATATTCTGAGTCAGATAATATTTTCACTAAATTGTTTACCATGCCTAAAAGTAATATCTGAATGAAAAACACCTAAAAATTGAAGATATTACTATCTATGAATCTTTTCTTAAAATGAAACACAAATACCTCAGAGTTACTAATATCTAGAGGGGCAGTTTTCCTGTGGTTTGGAAATTATATGCCCTTGTTGACATAAACGGATATGTTCATTCTTACAGTAGTATTTCTTATGATTGCTTATATACTGGAGAATTTGATAGCCTGTATAAAATCTGGAGGACTATACTGTCATTTCTCAACTTCCTAATGGTGTGCAAGAATAAGATAGATGATGAAGGCAAGTACTGTATTTCCTTAAAATAAAAAAAAGGGGAAAAAAGAGAACTGTGGTGTTTCTGAATTAAATACCCAAATTTAAAACTGTTGAAGATTAGTTGTCACTCAGTCACTATCCATCACTGTCATATCTGGTAGCAAACCAGATTGGGATGTCAGAATGACATATATTATACAATACTAAAGTCACACGAGAACTCTTTTAAAACAGCATGCAGGTCAGTCCTTTTTCCATAATAAACTATGCACTCTGGAGTTAGTCTTGTTCACAGCCAAAGACAGTTTTAAGCTCTCCAGTAATAATCTTCCTCTATAGTCTGAAGCCTGAGATACATTCAGAAGATCATTTAGGTAAATAAGATAAATAGAAACCTAACTGAAAGATATGGTTATATAGATGTGATACAGTTTTTTCCATCCATGTTGTGTACATTTCAATAGTCAGTTGATTGTATTGGCCTGGATGACAGAATGCAAACTCAGGTTATGTAGCAATACTGTAAAGGATGTTTTCTATGTCACTGATGTTATCTCCTAACTAAAAGTCAAAGCAACAGCAAACCTCTTACTTTCATATGGAACCTGATATCTGCATATATATTTTTCAGGAAATTTTATGGCATGAGACTTTACTTAAGCCAAGCACTGTAAAAGACCCTGAGGAAAAATCACTGTAATTTATAATACTTTCTTTTACCCCTTGAACTCTGTGGGCAAGCTATAAAGGACTGGATAGGGACCAGAGATGTGCTTTGCAGGTGAAGAATGCTGAATTGGCAGGTGCCATGGGAATTATTCTGTACTCTGACCCGGCTGACTACTGTGCCCCAGGAGTAGACCCCTATCCAAATGGCTGGAATCTTCCAGGTGGAGGAGCCCAGCGTGGCAATGTATTAAACCTGAATGGGGCAGGGGATCCTCTGACACCAGGTTATCCTGCAAAAGGTGAGTGACTCTAGAGAAGGCATGCTCTGGGGGTCTGATATCAGGAAAGGGCAGGGGGTGGGGATGTTCTTTCCCTTGTAACAAAACACTCTTTTTCTTAGTCTTTGTTGCTTTGTTTGGGTTACATGTCAGTAGGCCATCTCTGTAAGTGGTGCAAGAGAGGAAGTGAGGGAATGTTAAGCAAAACCATGGAGTGCTCACCTATATTCATTACCTTCATCTTATGCCTCCTTAGCTGCTTGAGCTGTGCCTAAGTTTTTTCATTTATCACCTAAACCAGACCATTTTGACTAAAATTCATTAAGAGCCATTCATGCCAGCACTTGAGACAGCATATCTAAGAGAGGCAGTCACCTCAGGAAAAGGGGTCCTTAAATGATGGGCAATGTTGCCTCTAGCCAACAGAACTTGAGCTGGAAGGGGATACATGTTCACAAGAGCAGCACAGCAGAGCAGACCATGGGGAAGATTCCTCGTTCCTCATGCTAGAGGAATGTTTTCTTCCCTCAAAAAGGGTCCCTGTGAATGTTGTATTAAAGAGGAAACTATTCTTTTCCGTGTATGCTTTTGTCCACATTGTAAAAATTAAGTTTCTCTTTTGTAAAATACTATGATTTCTATTTGAGCTTTGTCAGAATAAAACCTGGATTTCATTTTGTTCACAAAACAGCAAACCAGAATATTCAGTAGTCCAGTGTATATGATTTTATCTGCATCTTGTTATCAACTGGCAAATTTGTTTTAGTTTCCAGCAGAATGTTCCAAGCATCAGACTAAGGACTCCCTCTTTGCTCTTACTCTTTATCTTTAGCTTAGTCTGAACTTCTGTGCAAAAGGGTTTCAACACAAAAAATTAACACTATGGGAAAACCTTCATTAGTATCTCTCTGAAAACATGCAATTAATGGCAGTCCTATATCCAGGAAAGTGAAAAGATTATCCCCGACTCCAGTGTTAGGATGGTGCTATGAACCGTACAGATTCCTTCTGAGAGTTGTAAATATGAAAATATTTGTCTTTTGCTTTCAGAATACACCTACCGATTAGACAAAATCAGTGGTGTAGGTCTCCCAAAAATTCCAGTTCATCCTATTGGCTATTACGATGCAGAGTCATTACTGCGGTAAGTGCATGGGTGACGTGAACAATTTTAAGAAGACTGTATTTTGAAAGTTATGGGAGTATTTGAAAAGAGAGGAAAGACTTTTGTACTGTGCTCCTCCTGTAGCTGTTGAAATATGTTTTGTTTCTTATTATGTTCTCTGTAGGAGGTAAATGTGTTATTTATTGCTACATATCGGATATATGCAGAGTGATCTGGAAAGGACCATTTGTAATATATTATGGTCAGTCAAGTATACTGGAGTTATAAAGTGCCTCTCAGTTTGAATAAAGGTAAAAATTTTCGAGGCTGACCTGTCATGTGAAAAAGATCAGAAATTAAGTAATTCATTTGTCCAGGGAAGTACTTGCCATGAATATTTGATGGGACAGTATCTGTACTGTCCTCTATTAAATGAAAGTGTATGCTTTCTCTCATCAGGTGTGTTATGTTGTTTAAATATGATGGTGGTGAACTAATATAAGCACACTGAGGAAACTCAGGAGTTTCATAGGGGATTTAATAGACATCTGCATGTAAGTTTTCTTACTAAGTGGGCAAGTGGCATGGAGACAGGCTACCAGCTTGCTGGTGGGCAGCATTGAAATCCATAATTATTTCAACAAACCAAGTAAGTTCAGTAAAAAACCCCTAAGATGTGAATGAGTTGGAAAGTGTATCATTCCCCTAGAAAATGTTGCAGTAATCATCTATGTCAACTGTAGAGTTGCAAAGCAGGAAATGTCAGGGTTGGCAACAGTATGACGGATAAGTGTTTAGGGCAATAAGTGAATATAATCTTGGGTATGTGTTTGCATAGGTGTTTTACATCACATGAGCAGTCATTCTGCTCAGTTTGATGCCTCTGTTTGAGTACCGAGTCAGAAAAAAAATATCTGTCTTGGTTCTCTATGCAGATTTCTCCTGACGTATTGAAGGTATTTATTTTTATAGGAGGCAGAATTTTACTGTCTTTGGTGGTTTTGGATACCTGATGTTCATTAATACTGTCCTAATGTTTTTCCTGTTTCCTTCCAAACTTCTAGGGACTAATATATCTCCAAATACTCTTTTCTTTAAAACATTCCTGTTATCACTGTTATTAAGATAACTGCTCATAATGAGAAAGGCATAGGTTAAAAAACTTCTTTTATCCACTGCCAACTAGTAGTGGTAGAGCAGATTAATATGTATAAATATGATGTAGCTAGATATTTCTCTTCAATAAATTGTAAATAATTCTGGAACTTGTTTTTAATAATTATGAATGAAATCTAAATCTTTTAAAAATACTTTTTTCACATTTGTCTTGAGACATCATAACTTCTTGTTATTTCTGCTATCATATTTTTATATAAAAAATTTACTGAGGACTTGAAGACATGCTGTAGTGTTCTATGGAATAAAGCTCAACTGAAGCATGCATTTACAGTAAAAGATATGCTTTCATTTACAATAAATATATTTTACTTTCTAAGAACAGAACATCCATCATACTTTTTAATATTTTCTTTGTTTCTCACAAGTTCATGTCAAAAATATAAGTCCTTTAGGTGAATAAGTCTGGGTGATTGCAATCCACTGAATTACTGCATTCCCAGTTGTGTTAACAGGGAAAACATTGCCTTTGACAATGGAACAAGATCACATTTCTTCGATGTTAACCATCTTTGACACACATCAACTCTGTCTATGCTACCGGATTAAGCAGTGTCCAGGGGTAGGCACTGGAAGACAACTGTCTATGCCGTTAAATTGTTAGAATGGCCCAAGTTGCTCTCTGCTAATTCAAATGCAAATGCAGTTCAAGATACTAGAATGTTCCAGGGACCAAAGACGCAGTTTGTATGCACTGTGGTTTTTGTGTGGATGGGACCTAACAAAGTGTGATTTCTGTTTCTTCATTTGTGTTTGGTGCTGTTGTAAGATTTCTGTAACTAATAATGATTTTTTTTTTTCCATAATAGTAATATGGGAGGACATGCACCACCTGATAGTAGCTGGAAAGGAAATTTGAATGTATCTTACAATGTTGGTCCTGGTTTCACAACAAGTTATTCTACAAGGTCAGTTTTGTTTCCTAAGCAAAGTATGCTTGGGATCAGAGAAAAGACAGGTAGAGCAATAGCATTTGACCAAAGATGGAGTATTGGGTTTATTTGCATCATTCCCTTGATTTTGACCATTTCTTTGGCTGAAATACTGTCAGTGCAAAACTTCAGTACGTTTACATCTTGATTGGATGGATATGACCTACTTGCTTTGGTTTCCAGCTAGTCTTGAACCAGTTTCCTATGAAAAGTATCTAGCCTTTGACAAACTATTTGTTAAGACTGATTTTTTTTTTTTGAGAACTTTTGTTGTCTTTTTTAAATTCACAAGTCTAGCTTCTGCTCTTACCTATTGACTTATATAAAACAGTATTAACCTACAAGTTAGGTTTTCCAGAAGAAGAGCTTAAATTGCAACATCATTTTTATTGCTTCAGATTGTTTTTAAACTGAATTAGTAATTACAGTTTAGGACTAAAGTCCGGGTGTTTCCATATTGTCTGAGTACAATGTACTGACTTGTTATAAAGTATTTGACTCCATACGAACTTCATATGACTATTGTTCATACTGAACTTCATATGAACTCTTTAGGCTGAGTTGTTGCACCTCCAGCTGTGTTACAGGTAAACAGCTCTTGATGTTGTAGATTAAGTCTCTTGATGCAACTCTGGTTGTCTGATTTTCTGCTGCCTGAGGTGCCACAGCAGTACTGACTGTGCTGAAGTGTGGTGGTTTTGACTGGGGTAGAGTTAATTTTCTTCACAGTGGTTGGTATGAGGCTGTGTTTTGGTTTTGTTATGAACACAAGGTTGATAATAGAGATGTTTTTGTCATTGCTGAGTAGTGCTTGCACAGAACCAAGACCTCTTCTGCTTTCTGTACTGCCACACCGTTGAGATTGGGGGTGCAGGGGAAATTGAGAGGAGCACAGCTGGAACAAGTGACCCAAACTGACCAAAGGGATATTCCACACCTGTGGCAGTTTGAGCCACATTAGAAATCCAGAATCCAATTTCCAGGCTTCCCCCCACCTCTTCCCACAATTTATCCCAACACTGAAGAGAAAACTTTTAGGCTAGAGGCTTTTATAGGGGAAGGGGAAGTATATACATTTATTTTACACACTACTATACAAACTAAAGGCAACTATATATATATATATTACACTTTTATCAGTCCCTTCGAAGCTTCTCCCTTTTACTCTAGTTCAGGAAAAGCCTTCCAAGGCTGATATGTAACGCAGTCTCTCTCTCGTGGGAGTGTTCGGGGCCCCTGAACACTCCCCCCCAACAAACCTTCAGCTGTTTGCTGAAGTCCCTTCTTCTTACAAAGTTCAAGAAGGTAGCTCTGAGTCCTTTCTCCTCTGTCCTGTGTCATTTCTGTTGTGTGATCTCTCTTTCTCAGTCTCATACCTCGGTTCGTAGGCTGCTGCAGTGTAGTTCAGCTTATCAAGCATCCTCCGAGTCAGTTTTCGGCTGCCCCCAGTCAAAACCTCAGCAGGGCAACTCCCAAGCTCTTTGGCCCATCTCCAATTCTTGCCTGAAGTTCTTCCAACATGTTACAACAAATCACAACTCTTTCTTCTGGCAATCAAGCCTCCTCCAGCCGTCTCTTGGCTCAGCTTCAATACTAAGCCTTGCATCCACTCCCACTTAAACAGTGAGAGAGAAAAACAGCCCCCTCCTGCAGCCTGACTGCAAAGGGGGGGAAGAAGAGGGCCTGGCCGCAAGGCCTGCTTCTCTCTCCTCACTTACCAGTTGTTTTGTGAGTCCCTCACAAACACTCACTCACTCCAATGCTGTCTCTAACTCTGGCCTAGGCAGAGTTGGGGGGCTGCAGGGCACCCTTGCCTCCCCTGGAGGGGGAAGAAGGAGCCCAGCCACCCCCTGGCCTTCTACACCTACATGCAGCAGTCACCAACAGAGAGATACTGCCAACAGCTTCCAGTGCTGTGTATATGTGATTCTTTTGCAGAAGCAAACGAGTGGTGATCGGCTCTCCAGGGAACACTGCCCTGGCACCCAGTCACCTCTGAGCCCCTGACTCCTGGGGGGGCCATCTCGAACCATGACAACACCGTATGACATCATGCTCAGTATATAAAGTGGGGGGAAGAAGGAGGAAGGGGGAGGGACATTTGGAGTGATGGCATTTGTCTTCCCAAGTAACTGCCACGCACGATGGGGCCCTGCTGTCATGGAGGTGGCTGAACACCTGCCTGCCTCTGGGAAGCAGTGAATTGATTTCTTGTTTTGCTTTGCTTGTGTGCATGGCTTTTGCTTTCCCTATTAAACTGTCTATCTCAACCCCCGAGTTTTCTGGCTTTTACCCTTCCAATTCTCTCCCTGATCCTGCTGGTAGCAACAAGCAGCTATGCGGGGCTTGGTTGCTGACTGGGGTTAAACCCAGCCATGGAGTCAGTCAGTTCTGATTTGCACCAGTCTCTAGAATACTGGAACTATTTACCTTTTCAACATTAGATGGTTTTCATTTTTCTTTCACTCTTCTAAATTTAAAAATTAACTACTAGCAAAAAATCTTTGAATTTGGAGTTCTGATCCTGCTTGTCTGTATAAATCTTATTGACATTAGAAATATTACATAGCTATCAAGGGCTGAATGCTCTTCTCATTTACACAGGTATAAATCCAGAAAAAAAACTCCACTGAAATATTTTCAGACCTACCTTAGTTTAATAGAGGTTAAAGTTGGTCAAAATGCTTTCCTTATCATTCATATTTATACTTTTGAAAGGTGTCAAGATGTTTTATTGTCTAATCTGGTGGATTTTTCTCTTTGTATTTTCTTCCCAATACACTAGAAAGGTGAAAATGCACATTCATAACAACAACGAAGTAAGAAGGATTTACAATGTGATTGGTACTATCAGAGGCACAGTGGAACCAGGTAAAATCATTTGTCTTCAACATAATGTGAATGAGAAGTGACCTCTAGATACATTTCACAGTTACAAGGGGGATGTGAAGAATATAGTGTTCTCTGAAATATTGCACTATATGGTCATTGGTGTTGAAATGTTTATTGCATTAGCTTTCATATGGTTCAAGGTATGTCAGCACTTTCACTGTGAATGCTGATTTTCAAGGGAGAGTCCAATATGGAAAATATTTGTCTTCAGGCAAATAACTTTGCAATTGGAAGAATATTCTTAAGTGGATATTCTTCCCTACTAAACACAGGGACGGATTTTGCATCTAAAGAGACTATATCCACCACTATTGACTTTTTGTCTGTCCTATAGTCTCTTGTAACCAGTGTGATTTTATACTCAAGAAAACCCCCAGATAGATGATATCCCTAGGATGATGATAGCAGCATTTATCTTGTAACTGCAGCACTCACTTTGTGCCTGAAACGCAACTGTTAACCATATTATAGTCGCACAGAGATCTATTCTGAGTTTGATCTTAATAATCACATCTCTGTCATGATTTGAACAACACTTTTTATGATTGATTATATAATTTCAGAGAAATACTGCATTCAGCACACCCTAATGTTGTGAATTTGTGTGCTGTACAGATATAATTAGTGGATCAGCTTCACCATGAAACATGCTACTGTAAAATGCGGAAAGATGCTTCTATCTTTAGAGAAAAGCTGCAGTATTTCTAATAATAGAAGAAATGCTATGAAATTTAAGAGGTTTTAGTCTTGTGGGATTCAGTTATTCTGCTTGACAAATTCTCTAGCATTGACTGAAAAATACAGAAAAATGTCTTTGGAGATTTAAAATGTGTTTTGCCTTTCTGTTATGTATATTACAAATTATTAATCTCTGTTGCCTGATACATATATGGAAAAGAATTACTTCAAATTAACAGCTCTATGGCAAGAAAAAAGTTTTCTTAAGTAAACCTCCAAAATAATTTCTCCAGACAGATATGTCATCCTGGGAGGCCACCGAGACTCATGGGTATTTGGTGGCATTGATCCTCAGAGTGGAGCAGCTGTGGTTCATGAGATTGTGAGGAGCTTTGGAAAACTGAAAAAGGAAGGTAATAAAGCTCATCAAAGTAACTGCTCTCAGCAGTGCCTATTGATTTCACGGAGATTTAAACATATGCTTAAAATTAAACACGTCTATCTCACCAATGTCTAGAATAAACTATGCTACTCTGTAGATGTTATCTAATTCCAGTTACAACTTTGTTATATGAGAGGTACTTCTGCTCAAGAGAAAGTACACCCAGAGGAAAACAAAACACAAAATGGGAAATGCTGAAATAAACATGATGTTCAGGTACAATTGATTACTGTGTATTTGGGGATGGTCAGACTGGATGTTTCAATGGTCTTATAAAACTGATACAATCATGGACTGATAAAGGCTTCATGAAGGCAACACTGAGAGCTTTCTCAGCACTTAACTGTGGCTTGCAGACAGACTTAAGAATAAAGGATGTCTGTCTAATACAGAGAATGAGCTGTGCAAATGTAGTAGGAGGTAATGGTTAAAAATACCTCATGCTCAGTTGCGTTAGAATAGGAACAAATGTCAACTGCACCAAGTTTCTGCTCCTGTCAGAGCAAATGCTGTCTCCTTATCTGACATTCCATGGAAAGAAACTCTGACAATGCAAATACCATGCTAGAGAAGTGTTCATTGCCTACACATTACTCTTAAAGCTTATTGACATTTAGTTTTCGTTCCATTTCTCCTGGTTATTGGATATCAGGGGAAGCTGTCTTTGGAATTCAAACTGGAAAAAAAATTAAAAATTAAAAAAGAAAGGAAATAAAATATGAAAAGTTTCCAGTAGCTTCAAAGAAAACTTCGGGCTGAGATACAGAGACGGGGCAATAGAGGCTGTTCTATTTGTTCTGAGTTTAAATCAGATGCAGAACTTCAAGTGAAAGATCTTTCTTTTGAAGGTGATCTTTCAAAGTTACAGGGAATTCCTTAGGTTTTAAAATCTGGCATTTGGAAGACAAGTCAAAGAAATTCAGTAATAGATATGAAAACATGCCACTTTTCTGTCAAAGTAGACACTGGTATACAACGTATACTAAACTGAACAGAGCAAAAAGAGTAGAAAATCTTTCTTTCAAGAATTTGTGCACAGCACATTATTTTTTCTTGGTCAGAGTTTTAAATTTTAGAAAATTTTCTTGAAATTAAACTGAGAGACAAGAAAGAATACATCATTTGACACAATATTGAAGTAGAGGTGAGATTGCTACAATAACGAATCATTATTATGTTAGGTTACTGAAGTTGGTGTTAAAATTCCTTAAACATGTCTCTTTCCCCACAGATCATGATACAATATGAGACCCCCCCCAAACTGGCATTTGTTTTCACATTACTTATCATGCAAAAAACAGCCTTTGTTTTGTTAATATAGTTTTCATGGTCTTTCATTGTGCAGGGTGGAGACCAAGGAGAACAGTGATATTTGCAAGCTGGGATGCAGAGGAATTTGGCTTGTTAGGATCAACAGAGTGGGCTGAGGTAAACCAGTAGTGTTCAAAAAGAAATGTCTCAAAAGAGCATGATGTCTGCTCTTTGAGAAATCTGTACTAGAAAGCAGCTCTTCTTTCCTCCTTCCCCCTCTTTTCCTTGCACACACATTCTCTCTTTCTTTCTTTCTTTAGTTTCCTTTTGAATGTATATGTACTGCTCCATGTAGTATATGATGTCTTTCTATGAAACAGCTGTTTGTTTTGTGAGTGGGAAAAGAGTTCTGGGGGAAAAAAGTTTTTTAGCATTTTCTTCCTTTTTTCTTTCTCATAGGAAAATGCCAAAGTATTGCAAGCACGAGGAGTGGCTTATATCAATGCAGATTCTTCAGTTGAAGGTACATGGTTTAGACTTGTGTTTTACAGAAATAGTGATGGTATGACTGGGAGGGATTTTGCCTGGAGATTCATTAGACCTTCAATGTGATCATTTTGTTGCATTAATTCAGAAGTGGATATGGGGAGAAACTGTCACCTGGGATCATAAAGTATCCTTCAAATATTCCTGTTTTTTCGCTTATAGTAGCTACACTATTTGGGAAGTCATAGGGAGGGACAAAAAGTGTTGTGGCCCTGAGTTCTATGGCAACTCTTCAGAGTCAGCTTCTCCTCTTATAACATGCATAATAATCACAGGGACATAAAAAAAGCTCTGAAGAATTTCTTCAAAAGCTGGGCTGAAATTCATCATAACCAATACAAATGCACTGACAAGATCACAGGAAGACTCTTCTCCCAGGCAACCAGCAGTAGGACAAGAGGGCATGGTCTTAAGCTGGGCCAGGGGAGGTTTAGATTGAATATTAGGAAAAAAATTTTTACAGAGAGAGTAATCAGACATTGGAATGGGCTACCCAGGGAAGTGGTGGATTCACCATCCCTGGAGGTTTTTAAGATGTGACTGCATGTGGCACTTAATGCCATGGTCTAATAACCATGGTGGTGTTGGATCAAGGGTTGGACTTGATGATCTCGGAGGTCTTTTCCAACCTAGCTGATTCTATGATTCTATGATTCTCAGCTTGCTCCTCATTAATAGTGTAGATCTCCAGTCCGTTACTTATTAACAAATAATGGCATGAGGTTTCAACTGAGTTCCTTCTTCAAATAAATAGTTTTTCCTGTTTTTCAGGAAACTACACACTGCGAGTGGATTGCACACCACTGATGTACAGTCTGGTGTACAGTCTGACTAAAGAGGTAATATCACTTGGAATTTTTAGCCAGTATGCTCACTCAGTTGATGGAGCTCTGTCTATAAAATGTGGTGTCAGATATTTCTTTTCTGGTTGCAGTATCCCTTTTAGGTCAATAGCTAAGTAATTGGAGCTTTTTCCCAGAAGGGCCAAGGGGATTTCAAGCTTATATCTTTAAATTATTAGCTGTTTGGGATTAAGGGATTTTACCACTTCTGTGAAAGCATTCCTTCTATGAACAAAAGAATGAAAGAATGCTGTGAACCAGAGGACAGAAATAAGCACAAACCTGGCTGCCCAGATCAACTGCTAGAGTGCTCATGGTAATGGGAGACTGACTCCCTTTAGGCAGGGGAAGAAATTAGTCCTACTACTGTATTGTTTTTGATATGACATGCCAGGTTTGGTCAGTGTGCTCAGCTTCAGTGCACCCTGTTAGTTATTCATTGGCACTGACCATGATGTTCTCACACATATTTGTGTGGCATATAAAATTAAGAGGTAGGGACCTTTCTCTTAATAGGTAGGGACCTTTCTCTCTAGGAAATAGCCTCACCATCTTACATGTAAGATGTTCCTTGCTTTGGGAGTGGGTCTTAGAGGCTGTCATTTTGTTTCTGGGGTGTATTTCCTGTTCAACTCTATTAAACAATGAACATTTAATTGGTCTGTTTGTGTGTTTAAATGCATATATAATATACATTCATCTACTATATATATTCTATAAATCTACTTTATCTGTCTTCGTCTGCTGTATATATTTAGTCATCTGGCTTTTCTAGCGTTGATAATTTATTGTCTCTTGAAACTAGCATTAGACTGGTACAAAAGTAAATAAAAGGTAGTAAATCATTATAATAATTTTCTGGCAATTAAAGTACAACAACTAAAATGTAACTGTAAAAATCAAGTGCCCAGATAAAGGTATTTCTGTCATAAACTGCAGAAGAGCTGATCACCTGCAGTTCCCATGGTAACCTGTGCTAAATGCAAGTCTTCAGAACTGTCAGAAAATCTGGTCAGTAGGGTCTCAGTTTGGACAGCAAGAGCCATCATTAGAATGTTGACCTAAATACCAGTGAAAATGGTTGCATTGCATAACCCTTCCTCAAGCTGGGAAGCAAGAAGAGAGGCTGATGAATGCATATAACCACAGCTTGTTGGTAGCTGATGTCTGAAGAGAATGCTGATCAGGAAGCATGTCCCATGTGATCCCATCCAAAGTTAATCTGGTAAAAAGTCTTATAACTGTTGTACAAACAATTAGCTTAATGGACACAACTCCAAATATATTAGTTTTAATTTGGTTCCTATTCCTAGGTAGTTATATATCAATTAATAGTAGAAGAGATATTAATAATCTTTAATAGATTCAAGATAATAAAACCTCAGCATTCCACTGATATAAAGGAAAGATGATGCTCAGTTACCTTCAGAGTAATCAGAGTGATAGGAATGAGCTTTAGGATAATTGTGATTTATATACCTCTCTAGCAGCTATGATGACATAAACACCAGGTACTGTGCACTTTGACCTTCTAAGGTTGCTTCTGCATTCATAAACATAACTTTTGTGAACTAAAACGAGGTAGAAACAGTTTTGAATTAAAGTAAGACAAAATTGAAATTTCTTTCCCAAGTAAAGCCAGAAGTTTTGTTCTGTGAGGGATTGTTTTGTTGAATATTTAAATTAAATAGCTGAAAATCTCATAAAGAAACATCAAAATGTAAATATTGACCTGAAATGTTTTCCTTTCCTTGTGTTTTCTTTCATGTAAAATTACTTATGTTTTAGAAAATAAATTATTCCTCTGGAAAATGCTATGTGTCTGAAGTGTTAAAATGGAAATGAAAAAAGGTTGAGGGACTTAAGACTGTGACTTAGTCATTGCCCAAAGTCTTTTGTGTGAGGACAGGTTGTTGATTTGTTGCTTGGTAACATTTAAAATTGTACCCTTTGTCTTCTTCTAGATACCAAGTCCTGATGAGGGTTTTGAAGGAAAATCTCTTTATGAGAGCTGGTATAAAAAAAATCCATCAAGAGAATATAAAGAGGTCCCCAGGTCAGTGACAAAAGAACATAAATTATATACCAAACGTTATTATAACTTGTATAATGTGGGTTTTAAAGAAATACCCATTTGAAAAGCTGAGTGCTTAAAAGAAATGGTGTGTTTCTGAGCTGGTATGAATTTCAGAGTTCTATTGATTGCTATTGCTAGGTATGCTATTGTACAATAGTGTTGCGAACCTGCCTTTGTTGATGAACAGAAGGTTTTATATATGAAAAGTGTTCTTGTAGTTTATAGAGATTTAGACAAATAAGAGCAGTATGCACAAGCCAGTGGCAGGCACACAAGATGCTAACTCAGCAGCTTTCCCTTGCATTTGCTTCCAGTCTCCTGGAAGGCCTCTGAATCTGGGAGGCTGGGGGGCACGTCAGGCAGGATTTTACAACACCGTCCTTCAAATTTACCAGGGGGTGTCTATAGAATCTCAATGATTGATTTTATTCTGTGAAGCCATTCTGATACTTCTGTGATTTCTCTCTGTTGAGAGCTTGGGATAGTGGAAGTTCAGCAGGAGGAAGGTCATTGATTCTTGTCAGTGATAAAAGACAGTGAGTGAAATTCTCCTCCTGAGAGCTGGATATTTCTGACCCTGAGAATGATTACTTTGCTATTCCAAGAATGCAACTGATGTGATGCATGTAATGTGGGGATCAGAGGCAATTCATGTGTAGTGACAAAAGGAGCATACTAGGAAAAGACTGTGTAGTGTATAGTGACCAACTGCTGAATAAATAATTGACACAGTACTTGGAAGCAAATGAAAATTATACTTTAAGCATTGTCACTCAAGGTATTTTCCTCTTTCTTGTTAAAAGAATAAATAAACTGGGTTCTGGCAATGACTTTGAAGTCTTTTTTCAACGTCTTGGCATCGCTTCAGGCAGAGCACGTTACAGTAAAAATTGGGTAAGTCTGTGTCTTTGTAATTTAGTCTCCCCAGTAACTGCCTCAATAACATCACCTGTAGTGGAACCATTTAAACTGCAACCTTGTGGGCTAGTTCAGTTTAGTGTGTCAGAATGGTATCTAATTACTAGAACTCTATGTGCTACCTCAATACAAATATGTAATAAATAAGAATGTTCAACTTGGTATCAGTCAGACAAACTTGACTTTAAGAATTTAACTTTACTGTGCCTTGAATCCCACAGCAAATGTTTACAAGCCACACTGAAGTATCCATAGCTGAATAATAGTTTTGTTTTGTTTTGGTATTTTTGTTTCAGAACATAGAAAAATATAGCAGCTATCCAGTTTACCACAGTGTCTATGAAACCTATGAAATTGTGGAGCAGTTCTATGATCCCACTTTCAAAAATCATCTGACAGTAGCTCAGGTACGGGGAGGGCTGGTGTTTGAATTGGCCAACTCTGTTGTACTTCCTTTTGACTGCAGAGATTATGCGTCAGCTGTGAGCAACTATGCTCACATCATCTACAATTTGTCAAGGAATCATGAAGATGAACTGGCAACATACAACGTATCCTTTGGTACGTACAGTCTTTCATCACGCTCCTCCTCCATTAATGCTAGTATAGTAGTGTACGTCTTAGTCATGGCCTGGTATTTACTTTGTGCTGTATGAACAGTAAATAAAACAAGAGCCACACCCTCCAAGAATTTGAAATGTGAATATTTTGTCACTAGTATGCCTGTGTAGAGAATATGCCACTGCCCAATAGAGCTGACACTTGCAGTTGCATGTGCTTTGACCTGTGTATGATCCACCAATGTTGACAACAATGTATCGTCTTGATTCCTTAATAATCATACTGCTTTGCAGCTTCTAGTGCTGGATAATTCTCTACCTCAGAAGCCTCTGTTTTATTGACAACATTATATTGTATTCAGTTTAGGATTTAGCTGCTAATGACCAATATCAGCTACGTGCATGCACATGCACACACCCCCACACATATACTCTGTCTGTATGGAGGGACATAACAGTAAAACACAGGTTGTTGGGGTTTATAAAATCTCAGTCTTATGAACAGTCTGGTTCTGGCAGTCCACAATCCAGTTTTTGATATTTCTTTATATTCTTCAAGTAGCAAATAATAAACAATAGTCACAACAGTGCTAATTTCTACTGTCTCTAGGGCAGGTTTTGACACAGAATTACACATTTTTTAATGTAGGAATATGGGGTCATCTGATTTTCCTTCACCAACACTTAATAGATCATGATTACAGTGAAAGATAAAGCTTTAATTTGTAGAATGTTATTTGTTAAATTATGTCTTCAGAATATGAAGGTAATTGCTTCCTTCCTGCTCCCTCCAGATGCTCTCTTTTCAGCTGTGAAGAATTTTACAGAAGTTGCTGCTAGCTTTCATTATAGACTGCAACAAATAGATATCAATAAGTAAGTTTAACTCCTTTTTTTTTCCAGTCAAATGCTGCATGTAGTCCTCTGAGCTCAGAGGCACAGTCACTTGGTACCACTTAATGGAAAAAAGATAAAAAAGAAGCTGTATTTGGGGCAAGCTTTTCGATGAGCTATCAAGAAGTTTTATGTACCACCTATGCCAAAAGGCTTAATTTGCATTTGACTTAATTTGTAATTTATTCCTTGTAGGCCATGCCCAGAATGACAAACCAAGCTTCGTTTTGTATATACATATGTGTATGTTACAATTCTTGGGAAGAATCTAATCTAGCCATATGCTTACCCTTATGGAACACTAACTGAGAATAAAAGCCATCTTTTTAATGGCAGCACCTTTCAAGATGAGTTAACAATAATTTCTTATGTAAAAGATGACATTTATGACATGTGACATGTATGTGACATTTTCAAAATGGTTTTATTGGTGGATGACCTAAATCTAAGTTTTAATTCAACTAACCAGTTTTAGTTTCTGTTTGCACCACTGTAAACTTGAAAAAAATTTATTGATGGTAGTAGAGTTACTCCAGGCTTATGGTGGTATAAATTTTACCGTTTTTTATTGATGAATACCTTCAAAGCTCTACAATAAGTTTGATGTAAACTACCGAGCCCACATATTTTTGGTATAATCTTCTTCATGATTCTTTTATTTGTTAAGCATCAGTAGTATGCTCAGAGCTATTCAAAGTACACACACACAGATGGTCTCTGCTCTAGGGAATTTAAAATCTACCATCAAAAAACCACAATTCTTGGATGACTCAAGAGTTGGTTCTAGCATCACAAGGTTACTTTTTTTCAGATGTTTTGATTTTACAACAAATGAGATTTTATTGAAGTAATTTGTGGCTGGCTGGCTTTGTGGGAAATAGGGTCTTTGGAAAACTTTTGTACAAAAGAAGAGAACAGTCCACTTAAGTATCCTCATGGAAAGGAGATAAAGGAGTAAGATGCAACATGAGAGAAAATACCTGAAATTGTCTTCTTTGACATTATTACTTGGCCTTTAAAAACAACTTTAAGAGACTTTCAGGTTGTGAACCAAACTGTCTCACAATAGATCAGCATAATTCTTCTTTGCAGGTTAGCTGACGTGGGCTTTTTTGGGCTACTCTTTAAGTTCAACATCGTGGATCTGCTGCCTAAAATCTAAGACATAATTCTCTGGACAGTGTTAGTGTAGAAACACTGTTAGTATAGAACACTGCCCTTCATAAATCCAGAGATGTGAATGCTGGGGCACAGGACTAAGAGCAAGTCAAACAGTCTGTAGCTAACATATTCCTTTTTTCTTTTTAGCCTACTTGCTGTCAGATCACTAAATGATCAGCTCATGTTTCTGGAAAGGGCTTTTATCGATCCCCTTGGATTACCTGGAAGGCCATTTTATAGGTGAGAAATGGTTATTTTTCACTTTCCTCCTGGAATACCCTATAAGAATTCTGTTAAGATTCACAGGTCTCTAAATAGAGTTATAATTATTTTATTCAACACAGTAAAAGTAGATTAAACAGAACAAATAAGGTTAAAAAGGGAAAACAATACTGGGGAAAACTTCAGTGAGATACATTATACAGAATGAGGAAGAGTCTTGTTGGAAACCTATTCAGATCATTTCTATTGATTTCACTGGCTTCTAAACAGATCTAAAGTTAAGCCCTGGACTCATTTCAAGTAATTTTAGTGGTAAAGAGTCTATAGGAAGTTGTTATTATTTGAAAGTGAAATACTGTATAATTCAAGTACTGCAATTTGATCAATTATAAAAGAACAGTCATGCTAGCAAATGCAGTGTGGAGGGCAGCACTACAACAGCAGTGAAGGGAATTCAGTGGTCCTCTCATCCAGTTCAAGAAGTAAATCTTATCTGAGAGGCAGTCAAATCAAGTCTAGGTTTTTGATCCTTTTACCAGTCTGCATAATTCAGAACAGTAATCTTTCCACTAAAAAATTGCACTAAAAACTAATTGCAGAAGGAGAAATTAAGATCTACAATACTTGTACCTCTTATAGCTTATGATTAAAAAATATGTTGAGAACAGTCAAAGCATTGGCTTTCCTATCTCAAAGCATACCTGTATCTGTTGGCGACTGTGTATATCTTTGAGAAAATCAGCTGGCTTTCTTAATCTTTTAATTTCATCTAAAAGGAGGGAAAGGAAAATATTTGACTCAATTTTATCTCAAGTAGCTATAAATTTCTGGAATTCACATGGCATAATGTAGCTTATGTTAGTTTCTTGCTTCATAGACTATAGCTACTATTGCTGCAATAATCTTATTTATTTACATCCTAAGTGTCAAGAGTTTAACAGATGGTATAGAAACAGACTAGTTTTATCCAGAAAATTGTATGTTTTATTTTTCTAATGCAGAATATTGCTATTTTTCCCGTCATCTTCCCTGCAGACATGTTATCTTTGCTCCAAGCAGCCATAACAAGTATGCAGGAGAATCTTTCCCAGGAATCTATGATGCCATGTTTGATATCGAAAACAAAGCTGATCAACATGAAGCCTGGGAAGAAGTGAAGAGGCAAATTTCCATTGCAGCCTTCACTGTACAGGCAGCAGCAGAAACACTGAAAGAAGTAGCTTAAATATCAACAACATAATCATCAGTGAAGACAAAATACAGAATTTTGCAAGAAGTTTTAGAAATGGATCATTGAAAAACACTAGGAGGATTATTACAAAGAACACAAAATAAAAAAAATCTTGTTCTTTGCAAATAATATACCCAAGTGGAATGCATTTAGCAATGTTAACAAGGTAACGTACTCCATCCCGAGAGCTCAGGATTTAGACATCTTCTGGAGTGAGAGTGAAAAAGTTTCAGGTTTTCTCTGAGCTTTGTATTTTAAGAATTGCTAACCGCTGGATTTATTTTCAGAGCTTTGAATTTTGCTAGCTTGATTATTATAGCAGTCTTCATAGTGCATCAGGAAAACAGAATTAATTTCATGTTTCTATCAGTTTATAATTTTGTTGTTGACTTTTTATTATTTACCTTGGGATTGTATCATTCTACTCCAAGACAGACATTTCAGCCCTCCTTTTACACAAAGACTCATGTATGAAAATGGGAAAACTGTGACATACCATTTGCGGGATGTATAACGATCATAACAAGTTTTGGGCAGCCAGCCCAGAATACTCACCCATGACATTCTTCTTCTCACATGCTGAACCTTGAAGCTGTTTGCAAATAAATTTAAGCAAGAAGCTTTCTAGTCACTGGAGTAAAAACAAGGCAGACATATAGTCATCTTACAAAATGTCTTTTGAGACGACGACCTTCTTTTATCCAAAATCTACCTTTGCTGTGCCTTGTCCATGTAAAGTTGTTTTTAATATGAAGACAATTAGAAGCAAAAAAAAATTCATCATGTCCTTAGTTTGAAAGGATACAAAATTATTACCATTTTGTAAAGTCTCTATTTCTGATTTTGGTGTGCTATTTCTGATTTTGCTGCTCTTATGATGGACTACTTGAAAGATCACAGTGAAGCAACTGAGATCAGACAGAGAAGACTCAGAAAATCAAATCCCTTCATCCGACATTCTGCCCTGGAGGATTATTAACCTCTTGCACAGCTAATATTTTGTGTGATAAAAACTCCCTAAATAATTTCTTACTGTCAGTCTTCTATGGAGTCTAGATATAGCCCCTGGAGCTCCATTTGTCAAAGGCTATTCAAGGCAAAAATAGCTGGTGTCATAACTGGACAGCAAATGCCAAAGCCTATGTAGCTAATTACTGAAGCTACCCGATTTTTAGTCAGCTATGCAAGCCATATGTCAAAATATATGCATGGATGCATATGCAGCTGTCCTTTTCCTATGTATGTCACTAGGATTATGACTTCTAAGCAGAAAGCATAAAATGAAAGAGTAGTTGCATATGCACTGAGAAATGTAATTTCACATGACTCAGTTACTAGGATAATACAAAGAAGTAAGGGTCATATTTCACATTTATGAACAAAATCAGACCAACTGACATTTGTCGACAAATAGAGACATCTAGTTCCTGCCAGACAAGTGGAGGACAATGGTTAAATAAATAATATGCATCCAAAGCAGACAAGTGGAGAATAATGGTTAAATAATAAGTAATATGCATTAAAAGCAGTGTTAATAAGTTCTTGCAAACTTTTTAGCTGCACTTTGATTCTTGGAGCTCAAAAAAACCATCTGAACCATCCATGCCACATGAACATGGAAGTGTATGCTTTGAAGGAGTTTAGTAAGGACAGGCCAGATACAGGAATAGCTCCTTTTTAAGCCAATGTATTTTTTGTTAGATCTGCCAAGATATCTCAGGGGCATAACTGTTACCTAACTCAATCCCTGAGTGTGAGATCAATTAAATTAAAGAATCTGGAAGAAGTGAAGTGAAAAAGGAGCAGTGTTTTTTTTTAAGAAAGTATTGCTATCATATGATCACAAATTGGATACTGTTCAGATTTTCCAAATAACTCCATACAATGATCATCCTGTGCACTAAGTATGTAAATCAAATGAAATTAAAACATACTCATGTGTGGAAAAGGGAGAAATTATACCTGTATTAAAATGAATCCTTGCTTTCATGAAACCAGCAATGTCAATGTTACTTTGGCTTGAAAGTCTGTTGACCTCACTGAATGATTTCTGAATTCCTCTTGTAGAAGAAAGAGTCAAAGTTGCAATCTGGACTTGTCAGCTGCCAGCAATGTAAATTTTATTTTAGCTGGAATCTGATAATGGACTCATGAAGTTCAAGATAACAAAGACTCTGACTCAAAGCATCAACATCTACTACCATTTTAAACTGATAGGAAGACTGCAGAGGCCGTGAGAGAGTTCAGGGGTCTGTGCAACTGGCAGAGTCAGAAGGAAACTACTGATTTGAAATAGCAGTTGAGCATTCCCCTGTTGCCATTTTTCCTGCCAGGGCTGCCTTTCCCACAAACCAGGGCCCTTTGAATTCTCAAGCCACAAGTTCAACTGTTAGTCAAACAATAGGTCAGGCAACGCAATCAAGTAGCACATCTTTCTTGCTGCAAATGTTAAGCTTTAGGGTGCAGTTGCTGAGCAGCTACGACCTACAATTTACAAGCCCTGGCATTTTTCCTGTGTGTTATGTGTTTTTATGCACAATTACTGGCTTTACTAATTGGCTGCATAGCATAATTATGTATGCAACACACATGCATGGTAGTTTTGCATCTGGCATGTGTATCCTTGCCATTCTTTGAGCTTTTCTATTTTACTAGGGATTTATATATTTTGACTAAGTAGCACACGTGTAGCTACCTGCAAGTTCTGATAGCTTCAGCTGAACATGAGGCTTGTTTTCACTCTCAGTGCAAGCAAAAAGTTAGGGAAGACTCCATTGTAACTGCTGGGATCAGTCGATGTGCGAACCTATTTTCTCTGCCATAGGGACACCTATTGGGTAAGAACCACACTCTATGTGCACTGAATACTTTTATTTGGGATTAAGCCTTGTCTGTGTATTGCTTTGAATACATTCTTGCACTCAGGTAATATCACCATCAGTCTTCGAACCATAACCTGTCACAATTTTGTATTAATAAAGAGTGTAATTCCGTAACCCATCAGCATGAGTCCTTCACGGGCTCTGGCAGCTGCCAGCAGTGGGTAACACACTTGAATAAGGTGGGAAGACCTGCTGAGGGGTCTCCCTTATGCTGTTGGTGTATTTCCCTGAATAAGTCAGTCAAACTGCCCTCCAATCCAGCAGGACTGTTCAGTGAAGGGTCCCCATGATGGGACTCTGACAGACTAGTTGAGCACAAGCATCTCAGCTTTCCTGGGGAACTGACAGATGAATAAAACACTGAGAGTCAAGGAAAACTCCCCACAGCAAGGGACAAGGAAATCTCCCCTTTTCACATGACAGTCATATATGGCAACTCTGGCATAGAGGAGTTGGGAGTGAAGGTTAAGCTAAAAAAATGGATGCAGTGGGGGAGAGAATGTTGTTTTAATTTTTGTCTTTGTTTCTCACTATCCAAGTCTATTTTAATTTGTAGTAAATGAAATTATTTATCCCTAAATGGAATCTGGTTTGCTTATAATGGTAATTGACAAGCAATGTCCTTGTCTTTATTTCAACCCATGACCTTTGTCATCTTATTTCGTATCCCTGTCCTTTGTGGAGGGTATGTGGTTGAAGACAGATTTACACAGTATGTTATATTGCATTTAATCGTAACATAATATACTCCACCTGCGGCCAATCCATGGCATGTAAGAACATATCACAACTAATAACTAATATTAGGACTGTATTTTAAGTGGTAGAAGCCACCTTGTTGCTGCTGTTATTCAACCTCAGCATTGCTAGGGCCCTTGTCACTTTAAAAAGATGTAGGCATAGAAATAAATACATTTCAAACATTCTCACTGTTGCTATTCTTACCTTCTTCCTCTACTGATGTTATCATGTGAGGTCTAAGTTTTTTATCAATTTCCAAAAACCCTTGTCATTTTACTGTCTATTATGTGCCAGTCCTACACCTGTGGTGCTATATAAATGCTAATAATACAACAATATGCTCATTCTTAATGAGTTCTGTAGGTGGAATTCCATCTGGTTTGTATATGCCAACTGAGATGCTGGTGTGAAATGTCATTGCTGTTCAGAATTTTTGATGGCTTATGAGCAGTTGGGAAATGACAGGGAAAAAAATCACAAAACTGGACGTGCCTATAATTTGAACAAAGACATCCAGCCTGTGCTTGAAATGGTGGCTATCACTGGTGCAGAATACCCAAGTCCTTATTTTCTGGAAAGCTGTAGTGAAGCAATTAGGATATTAACTACCCTTTTCAGCTTTTTCTGAATATTTTCAGCTCAACCTTATGTGTTTAAGAGAGTTTTGATACTCAGAGTACCGATATTTCTTTCACAAAATGTACCTACTTTGGGAGTGAGTAGTAGGAACTTGAAGCATTCCAGGCTCCCAGAAAAGCTTTCCTACCTTCAGCCATATAACTGGACTCAAATGGGCAAGTCCTCAGTTCCAGAAAGATCAGTCTTGGCTTCCATATAGCCATGCAGGAGCTCACCAGCAGGTAGTGTTGTGCAGGATCAGAGTAAGTTTGTGCAAAAATATAATGAGTCTATGAACATATTTTTTTGACTATTCCCTGGGCTGAAGTTGTGACCTTTCCCATGAGATACTGGTGGATTTGACTGAGTTAGACTAAGAAAACTTGATCTTAAGGACCCTGAAGTCTTCAGTGTAAAAAACTAGAGAATATAGAGAATAATTTTGCAACTTTTCACAGTTCCAAATTGGATGATGCCTGGAAGTATCCTCACTGGCTAATCTAAATTGTTTTCTTAGCTGCTCTAAGTGTTCATCACTTGCCAAGGATTAATGTTACTATGGATTACTAAAGGAAGCAATTCAGTGCTTCATTGGTAAAGAAGAAACAAGTTTTCCCTTATTTTCATCTCTTGGCCACTTCCACTGGAACAGATTGTGATCAAGCCTAAACCAAGAACTTTCAAAACCAGGAAGTTCTGATAATTAATAGAAATTAGCCTTTTAAATAGTACTTGTAAACTGCTTGGTGCACAGCCTAGATACATATCTGTCACAGAAATAGACTGGAGCTGTTTAGTGGGGTGAGACTCAGAAATGGAAGTGTTTTATTGCTCTCAGAAAATCATATCATCATCATCCTGGGTTAAGGTTGATTAGGCAGCATGAGAGCTGAGAAACACAGAAGCCAGGGACAGCCCTGGGGCTGCAGACGGAAAGAGGAGGAGGGGACAAAGGAGGAGGAAGGCAGCTGCTTGCCTGCCCTCCTCACAGCCTGCCAAGCTGCCGGCCAGTGATGCCCCTATGGCCAGGAGCAGGAGCAAGACCCCCCTCTGCACATGGCTCCTCTGCCCCGGGCTGCTTGGCTGTTTCTTGCTGGGCTTTCTTACGGGTGAGTAAGGAGAACCAGGGGCTTTTGCCCCAGCTTTTGAACCAGCTTTTGCACCAGCTTTTGCCCCCTGCAAATACTTAAGTGCAACCCCTGTTGTGATTAACTCATCATCAGGGAGATTATACTGCTTTTTAGGTACATTATAAAGTACTCATCCCACTGCTTTTCTAAGAAGTTGCTCGCTCTAGCAGTTTTGGTCTTTAGGGAGTGAGGAATAGAATGGCTGCGTGCTTCAGCTCACAGCGAGCCCTGCTGAACTGACAGCTTACTAAATGGGCAGCCAGGCATTGAAAGAGGAAAGATTAATAGAAGAGTTCGAGACTTCAGTGATTGTCAGATCTCCATTTCTTTTTAATTGTATTTCCTGATTTTTTACTGAAGATCTATTTAAATGCTCTGATTCAGTTGCTATTTTAGAAACTAAGGGTAGAATGTAGAGGAGGAGGAGTTTGACTGACAGCCAAGAATGGAGTTACTGAAGTTTTTCATTGTGCACAGTGAACTTTACTAGAACATGAGATTTTTTTCTGAAGTCACTTTCAGCATTTGATTTTAAATATAAAATTGCATGTCCTTTTTAAACTTGTATTGTAGCACACACTTAAGGCTGAAGCATGAAGGAAAAATCCATGAGGGCTATTAAATATACAAAACATTA